TTTGGGGTCTATGTCATCAGGAATGACTTCGACCAACGGGGTTAGAGCGGCTCAGAGCGGGCACAGAGTGGGGTTGATGTGGCGGGCGCCGGACTATTTTTGGCGGAGGCCATGTTGCAAACGATGTCCACGCCTTTGTCAGAGACCAGCCGAATGCCCAGAAGTGAGAACATGTTACGGCCTATAAGACAATGTGGACGACACCCATCAACGACCAGAAATGAGATGGTGACAGTGCCAGCGGATCCAAGGAAGCAAGGGACCTTGGCGACAGAGTCAGCCGAGAGAGCCTGATTATTACCGAAGGTAACGGACACAGGCGGTGATAGAGCCTTGACATCAGGAGGCCTTATGATGTCGTTAGCAAGAAGAAAGTGAACGGTAGAGCTGTTCAGAATGGAGGCGTTCGCACCGCTATCCACGAGTCCCTGGATAGGACAATAAGTCTTTGGAGCATCATGACCAGCAACAAGGTTCACCACCGGATCAGCAGGGAGTGAGCCGACGATATCATGAAGTGCTGTACGAGATGAAGCACAGGCGACGCTGCTGTGGATGATCTTTAGCTCAGAGCCGTCAGAGATCTCCGTTGCAACAGTGGACATATTGGCTTGAGTAGTGGATGTCATACTATCATTGTTGATAACCTTTCGGCAGACACCACTCAAATGACCATTGCGCTTGCATCTACCGCACTTGAAGTTCTTGGATTGGCACTTGTGCTCGCTACCAGTACGGAGTCGGCCACACCTGTCACAACGCTCCTTCTGCTTGAAGATTTGAGTATGACGACATGAGTTGGCCTGATGTGAAGGCAATCCGCAGCGTAGGCAGTTATCAGGCGGTATACCAAGCTCTTTGGTAGCTAGTGCACAGATGGAGATGATCTGAGAATGATCGACCTTCTTGAGGCCACCTTTACCCGAACCTTGAGACCGTGACTGACCGGGCATCATTGCCGTTAGATCATCGGGCAGGGGTGTACCGTTGTCGAGAAAAGCGAAGAGTGCAAGCTTGTAAGCTTCATAGCCAAGCTGGCATTGGGGGTCAATGAGACATCTTCCCAGAACTTCACGGGCACCACGGAGACCATCAGAGAATTTGGTGGTAATGTCACGGGCAGAAAGACCATGAGTATAGTAGAGAGCTGTGTATACATGTGCACAGTGCTCAAACCTCGTAGCATATTGGCGGACAGACTCATTGGGTTGTTGGCAGATTCTCTCCCACGCAGCGGAGACACTACGCAACTCGAGCTTCGTCAGATAGGTATGGTCCAAGGCATAGATGATGATGACGTGACCAAACTTCTCGATGTCACTTGGGTGAACACTTCGTTCGACAGTGCCTTTGACAGGCTCTGGTAGACATGCCAGAACTGCCTCCGTAGCAACTTGTCGAGAGCATGGCACGCGCTCGATCGCATCAGCAAAGGCAACACGCCATCTAGCATAGGCACCACTGTGGTTAGGGTCGAACTTGAGGCGGTCATGTACAGGATGACCGATGAAGACACGAACCTGCTTAATAGCCTGATCGATAGGGCGCTTCGTGACATCAGTCTTAATCTGCAACGGACGAATACGGGGAGGGCATGTATAATTTTGATACCCCCCGAAGGTTGAGCATACGGCCGTGGGATTGTGCTGGATGTCGTAGTTGGAAGGGCCACCGATAGACGAGCTCACTTGGGAGACCGATTGCTGTTGTGAAGTGGTAACAACAGCACCGGTGGAGTGATAGGTGTTAGCCTGTTCACCTGCCGTGAGAACACCAGGTATGGCATTCGTGTTGGCTTGAGATGATTGTGCCATGCAGTGAGAGCGATGCTCACTGATAGCAGCGACCGATTCACGTTTCAGCTGTGCTTGGGTCGGAATGGCAACTGTCCATCGAATCTGATAGTGATCCGATGAGGAGAGGTTAATGATAACTCTCGCAAGTTGTCGTGAGACCGGAGTCACCCATGAGGGAAGGTCACAGCTGAGTAGATGGTCATCAGCAAGGCGGCAGAGATCGGCTGATACTGCTTCGAAGACCGAAGTCAATGAAGTCGTTACAACAACCACCGGGGCTACTGAGACGCCATCTGATTGATCAGAGCTCGCGTGTTCGCTTCCAGCGGGCAAGCTTGGACCCCGAGCCTGTAGCCGATTCCGACGCCGGGGCCGTTGTAGGGCCGGGTACGGACATTGCTTTCACAGGTGTAAGGGCATCAGAGGTGTTTCTCAGAATGATCTGAACGTCGACGGTAGAACCAGCTTCAATGTCCTGGAAGCACTTGGACAGCAGTCTCTCGTTCTTGGATATGGATTCTCGGCATGCAGCCCCCAAGTTGTTAAGGAAGTGCTGGTCGAAGGCTTCCGGAGGACTAGAACTCGATGCAGAACCGGACATAAGGATTCAATAGTTAGTGGAGATTGAGTGCAGACAGATCAGATAGATCCACGGGATCCGAACAATGGTTTGAACGGACAATATTTGAAACGGTCGGGCGAGAGCGAGTATTGCGCTACAGGGAGCGCACGCCATAAGACTGAATGGCTATGGACTCTTATCAGCACATCTCGAGTTGCTCGATTCCACCATTCGTATGTATGATGTCTTTTCCCCACGAGTTCGATACTTCTTCTCTATCTAATTGAAACCACAATTGCTCAATGTGCTCCCGTTTTATACCCCGTGATGAAACAGAAGCAGTGCAGTGGTGCGACATCGCTGCTCACTGTACCAACCCTTTCGGGGCGCCTGTTGAACATTTGCTTCGTCGAGGCCAGCGCTATAACAGTGAAGTAATACTTTTTCATCGGCGTTCATGTATATTATGCGTCTTTCTAAAGGATTAGCAAATGGCGAGCGAGAAGTAAAACTGCTTACATGGTAGTCTTAGCGGGGCGAAGCGATTCATGTTGTGCACTATTAGTGTACATGCGTCGCACGTTGCAACAAGCTAACAGATGGAGATTCCTTCCCCAACTTCTTCCCCAACCAAACCCCGTTCGAGGTTTCCCACCATACTCAGAGCTGGTGGTAGGTCTGCTAGTGCCTTCACTTTGGCTAAGGCCACTTTGGGTGCTGGTGCATTGGCGATGCCCTCGTCCTTTCAAGGTGCTGGGATAGTCCTCTCAGTGCTCTTACTAATAGCATTGGGATGGATGTCGGCGATATCTATCAACATGATAGGACGTGCTCAGACTCATTCGGGTAGAGACACCTTTGAGGAAATCGTCCGGCTCTACTACAACGCCTGGGTCGGCTACGTCTTCGAGATCACAATGATTTTGTTCTGTTTCGGCACTGCTGTGGCCTATCTGATTTCTATTGCTGATCTCCTCAACCCCGTGTTCGAGAAGTGGATAGGCTCTCAACACGAACACGACTGGTATGGCGTTCTCCTCCTCAATAGGACGGTCTTCTCGGCCTTGGTCACCTACATTTTCCTATTACCATTATCACTTTTCGAGCGCATTAATAACGTTCGATGGATCAGCTTCGCTGGAGTCATGTCGGTCATTTTCCTCGCTATTTGTATTGTCTACTTGCTCATTAAACACGGCATCTTTAGTAGTCCGCAAGATTCGACCTCGACCTACCTCTGGCCGAGCAAAGGTTTCAACGGCGTTATCAGTGCGGCATCGGCATACATCTTTGCATACGTCTGTCAAGTTAATGTACCACATATTTACTCGGAGATGGTCCCATTCAGCGAGAGGAATCTACGCCAGGTCTCCTACGCATCGGTTGCTCTCTGTTTCGTCGTATACGTAGCTGTTGGCACGTGCGGGTTTTTAACGTATGGGAGCACCACCAGAGGGAGTATTATTCAGAGTATGCGTGCAGATTTTCTCGAAGGCAATATATTCGTCACCATTGCTTTCATCCTTATGGGTGTCGCAGTCTTAGCTGCATATCCTCTCAATATCTACCCTCTAAGGGCAGCTGTGGTGGGCACAGTCAAAGGCATCACTGGTCGTCGCCATCTTCATCGATGGGTCGGCCCAGCTATAACTTTTATCTCGGTCTCGCTCACCCTAGTCGTAGCGATATATTTACCGGATGTGAAGGTGGTCTTGGATTTGGTTGGCTCGATGACTGGTTCGATCATTTGTTACATAATTCCTGCTGGCTTCTGTGTCAGAATCGTGTACTTCAAGCGCAACAAGATGGTGGGGAAGTTGAAGGATGAGTTGGCAGCTGAAGACGACACTTCGATGGACTATCCTAATTGGCTTTCGTTCGGATTTATCGCGTTTGGCGCCGTTTTTGTTGTTGTTGGAACATATGTTAGTCTTGTCGGCGTTGTGGAGTTCTACCAAAAGTAATTCTGTCAAAGTAAATTTGTCTTGTTCATTCAGCTTGAATTGTCGATCATTACTACTTTCGTCCTACTTTTTTCCATCGAAATTCTGATATCCTCCAGATGTTGTGTTGTCACAATGTGAACACATTGAAGAAACTGCCAAGAGGTTTCACCTCTCGAGCTGTTGCCAAGTTGTTGACGCGGCACTTGTGCGGGAATGAATGTTACTGCAAGTTCATGACATTTTGTCTCAGCTGAGATGACTGTGAAGACCCTGAGATGAGTTCCCTGAGATTTTCCTGATTCGCTTACACAATATCAGCATAAAAATTCATATCCATTTCCGCTGAGGAGAGGTGACTGACGATATACAACACAAGTTTCATACACAGTGTGCGAGAGAAATGGAGTAACGTTGGGAATCGAGTCAATCTTGGCGTCTACGATGATGGCGAGTCAGCCTCCGGAGCCGCGAACTTGGCCAAATAGATGCAAACCTACAAAAGGTAGGAAAAGCACCTCTTTAGCATTAGCAATTAGCAAAGGATTAGCGAGGTTTAGTATTAGCAAAGCAACAACGCACACTGAAGGTATTGGTGCAGTGTCAGTCTACCTCCTTGAAATGCCTGGATAAGGCTTCATCGTACGGGGTGTGCTTGGCCTTGTTCACAGTCGTGGCATCTGCTCCTGCATCAACGAGAAGCTTGCAAACGTCGAGATGTCCATTAAGAGCAGCCCAATGTAGTGGAGTGTTGCCTTGGCTATTTGCTGTTGACCGAAAGAACATCAGAATGGCAGAATACTCAGTTATGGCCTACCTTGGTTCGCTACTGTCTTTTTCTTTGCTTCACCCGCTTCCTTTAATAAAACCTTGACGACCTCCGTGTGCCCATTAGCTGAGGCCAGCAGGATTCCAGTACTCTTCGTGAACGCGTCCGACTCCCACAACTGCAAAGTGAACGATGAACAGAAAAAATTCAGATCTACAGGGGTCATACCAATTCAGGATGAGCTCTCAAATGTTCGCGTACATTGTCAAGATCGCCGTATCTTGCAGCCTTTAAGAAGGAATCGAACTCATCCGAGTTACCGAGAGCAGGAGCAGGCATCGACAATATCAACTTCGCCCTGCCTCCTACTAGCAAACACAACCCTCACTAACAGCATTGAAGAACGGACCACAACATGTACATGATTCCTGCACGGATGTACGGAAACTCATCCAAGCTCCTTATGCTTTTCGGGGCCTCATCATCGAGGATCAGATACATCAGCGAGATAATGTACACTAGACATAGGTATCTCCAATGGGGCGAATTAGCATATGCGCTCTTGTCCGATGAGAAGACTCGGCTACTGACATTCTATCACGTCCTTGTAACTGGAAAGGATGGCCCTTCCTGACACACAGAGGGAACCGTTGCCAAGCCCTTGGAGATGGACCCAAGCCGTGACGCGGTCGATAGCGTCTCGCAACTGTTCCGTTCGTAGCGGTGATTCCCGGAGCGTCTCGCGCTGTCGCAGTGACGGGCCCTACTGCTTGTCCAACATGGTCAGCGTATCGTGCCGAAATAGCATTGAGGTCGATAAAAACTTCTTGACGTCGTCCCGATCGTTCCTCGTCGCCACTGAAAGTAGTGGAACCCCATTTGTAGAAGGCATGACGAAGTGTCATCCTCATCCGGTCAGTCTTGATATGGCTAGCTAGTCGGAACAAGCGACGGGAATTCTGGGCGATACCTCTCCACAGTCTGATCGAACTAACACAATGAGGAAATCACACTAAACATAGGTCACCTATAGCAGTATAGGAGGGTTCTACGGCTCTTCCGCCTGGAAGCAAGCTCGTTCCAGTGATAAAGCACATTGGATAGCACTTTCGATGCCGTGGTCAATTCCTGAGAGGGATCTGCAGAGGCAATGATTTCTTGGAAGTTTGTCATACCACTTCTCTCGCAACAATCATCGTTCTTGTCGCCTCCCACCATCTGTTTAAATACTTCGCCCGTCTCATCTGCTCTATTCCGTACGCAAGCCCTGCGTTCCTGGGATGGGGATGAGCTCTTCACATTAAGTCTAACAAACCTGTAATTTCTCTCGGAGAAGATATACCACTCGGCAAAACATCGACCAACTAGTCGCTTCTCGCGTACTGACTGGGCAGTACGTGAGACCACCAAGAGCCGCTTCAGCGCAACCCAGCACGACAACGCCTTCCCGGCGCGATGTTTTTGCCTCATGTTGTGTAGCACTTCTCTCAGTCGCTTGACTTCGCCGGTCAATCGGATCCAGGCTGTCACAACTCCGACTAGCCTCTGGTGATTGTATCTGGATCACGTAGAGATTCGGAGGCTCAGAGGTAGAGCCTCGTGCCTCTCGACGTGGAAGGTTAGACAATTCTCCCGATTACCGAGGGGAATGAGAAATCATTATTCCCACCTGTTCGTAACAGCTCGCTCAACCTCACTCCACAGCTCCCTGGCACTCTCAAGAGAGAGCCTCCAGCGGCGCCAGGATGTAGACAGGAGACGACTGTGTCGCAAACCTCGAATATTGTTCACAGCAATCGGCGTTATTTTCCTCTTCAAGTTGACCAAAGAGCGCCATTCTCGGCTGATAAGCGACTGCAATCGATTCCGAGTGAGTGATATCAACGCCTGAGCCGCTTTTGCGCGGGCGAAGCGTCGGTCATGCAACTGTCGCCAAGCTCGGAGACAGCTCAGGGCAGCGCGACCAAGCCTGCGTGACCTGCACTGTCTCACGAAGGCGTGTTGGGCGCTCAAGCGCTTCCAAGCTCTGAGAAATATGTTGGTACTTCGAGCCAGCGTTCAGTAACTACCGGAATGCTCCAACTCGAACACACAGGCCATTCCGTTCAGTGAGCTTCCCCATGGAGTTAATCAACCTCCACTTCTTCAGCGTTCTATTGGTATCGATGCGGTTCTGGATAGAGCGCACTGAAATAAGTCGAACTTGTCGCATACAAATGATCAATCCCAAGACCGGAAGCTGGTTATTAGACGCTCTCCTGATTACTAATCAGTGATTAGACCTCGGTTTCATGTCCGATCAACGCGTGACTCTGCTAGAGTCACTTCACTAGAGAGTACTCACTCGCCTGTGCTAAGGTAAGTGCTCTACGGAGCCAATACCATTCTGTGAGGACAGCTAGGGCAACGCGTTTTCGCCCTTCAACCTTGATGTTGACGGTAACGTCGATCTTCAAATGTGACCATCGTAACCAGTGTGTGAAAGCTTGTTGCAGTAACAGCCGAGCATACAGCTGCCCGGCAGCAGTAGAGCGTCGCTCTCGTGAGACGAGCTCGATCCAGGCATGCAAGTGGATCTTCATACTTCTGTCTCCATCCAACCTTCTATTCCGAAGGAACAGGAGCTGAGACCGTCCGAATCATGGTGACATGGCTTGCGGACAGAGTCTCACCAGTTCCCGAGCGTGTCGCGTTTGCCTGCGGTGGAAGGCCAATGCTTGCCAGCGGCTCAGGCAGGCCTTCAGAACAGAATCGCAAAAACCGTTGAGGGTGATTTGGCCGATCTCGGGTGCGAGGATTCGCATAAGTTTCAACCTAACGTTCGCATCGGACTCAACCATGCAATCTTTCAAACTTGGCCTGTCTCCGCCGAGTAGCGAGTCTCCGCCATGAATTCAGCTTCTTCATCATCATCCTTCGGAAGAACTCTCTCTGCCTGGATCGGCTGTCCGCGATCAGCGCCGTCGCGGTCCCCCAATGGCTCAGACATCTCCACATGAGGCGGATTCGATGGTGATGGTGAACCTTCCAAAATGTTGACATGCTAGTTAAAGCTCTTCTTTTGTGGTAGTGGGTCTTCAAGGCTGTAACGCGAACGGACGACGCTTTCAACTCTCGTTGCCGGGATGTTATGTTCGACAGCAGGTAGAAGAAAGTCGATAGACGGACGAACGGGCTGGTCCACGCAGGTAAGAATCGAATCTGGGTATAGAACCAAGAGTTCTCCACTAAATTGTCATCGTATACATGTCTGGATGCCCCTCGAAATGCTTCATCCCGGATACTGGCCCAGTAGCTGAGCTTGCCCTCTCGTTGTGAACTCATTTGACGAACCAAGTCCATCCAAGCGAGCAACATTCGCTCAAGAGTGCGCCTTTCGACTCTGATAATGCGAGGCCTTACAATGAGAGCTTCAATAAACCTACGTAGATGATCCCTGCTGAGTGCTGCATCTGTTCTCACCAGTCCCGAAGGAATCCTCTGGCGAAATGCTCCTGCACATTTCTGTACAGTCTTTCAGCGCGTGCCCGAATCAGACGGCTACACTGTAAGGAATGTCGCCAAGCGGGAAAGACCGCCGTCAATATGAAGACCAGGATATGCTCCTGAAGAGGTGGGACCTTTACGCTATACACAAGCTCCTTGAAAAGAAGCAATCCACGTTGTGCAACGCTCGCTGTATCGCGCTATTTGCCCCAGCTATGCCTGCGGGAAATGAGAGCCGAAGATTCTCATCCCCTACTATAGAACCAGTCGCATTTCGAATTGAATGAATTATCAAGTGAGTTAACTGTGATCTACATTTCCGTTCACAGTTAACTCAAACAGAGACAAACCGTGCAGCGAAATCCATGCGTGAGTTCCGAATCAGGAAAGACACATTACTGTAAGCAGTGCTAATGTACTCTCTCAATAGCATCAAAATGAACAATATCCTTTCCAAGCTAAAGCTCGAGGTTTCAACGGAAGCGCCTTACCTTGCCTGATAGTCCACGGAATGTATCGGCCACGTAGTTGGCTCTCGCTCGCCAGGCCATGAAGTAAGTCGCAGTCAGTACTAAAGCCTTAGAGAGACCTCTATGCTTCGGACCTCGCCTCGCGCACAATCGGCGCTGACGCCGGGTCGTTGCAATAGCTAACTTAGACCACGCGTAGAGATGCCTTGCTCCTGCCGACTGCGAAAGTGCTCGCCCGATCCGCCAGAGTCGAACTCTTCCTCGTGCCTTTTTTGCTACAAGTTTCCGCCATTGCTGGAGAGCGGTCTTTCGGAGTTGATGCGACGAGGAGGGAACCACATCGTGGCGACGTATATGACCCGGTAATTGTGGGGTCGTCGACGATGTCATGTGATGCTACGGGAGATATACTGAATTATGAAACTGAGTTCTGACAAAAGAGGCCCATTTCATGCCATGCTCCACAGTAGCCTTATCGATCCAGATAACTTCGAGTCAAATGAGGACGGGGTGATTGCTCCTGGTCGTTTTGACAGCTGATGCTGCAACTACGGTGGTAATGACGATAACGATGAAAGACCAATCATTAGTCACCAACCAAAACAACATATACCCGACTATGCGATGTCAGCTGCTTCATAAGCAGATCTAGCTGCCCAGATTTGCTATGCAGCTCAATCAGACTCTGATTATCGGAGCACTCACCGCTGCGCAGTCATCGGATAGAAATTCGAGTCACTTGATGCGACTGAGTGCCTGAGAAGCTACTCTGAGAGTGGAGCTTCCACCTAACTTGGCGGTAAATCACCGCTGGTAATTCCGTTAATTCGCGAAACTGTATGATGTTGTGCCATAGATCGTGACGACCTAGACTTAGCTCATTTGGAGGAAAACATACAACATCGCCATGTCCTTGCACTAGCGGCGTGGAAGGCGAAGAACCTCGAGACGCGGTGAGCCATACTTGATAATGTGCGCGCACTTTACTTCTTACATGCTCGAAAACTGTCGCTTATATGAAACCCTCGTCTGTTAACGGTGCACTGGCTGAGAGAGACGAATGCGTGAGGTGAGAGTCTCACCGTGAGAACTTCTCACGAGAAGGGTAGCATGCTCTTGAGAACAGCGTGACTCTTGACAAACTTAAAGACTGACTTCCTTCTCTCTGCATCCTAGATGCCCAACGAGAAGTTCTTCATGACGAGCTCGCAACTATGGCTAATGAAGTTGCTACTAGAAGATGCTCCTCATACTCAGGAGGCATCGGGTCCTCTGTATCTTGATACTCTTTTTTTCCTCATGAGGCTGGAACTCCGCATCAAATGCGGCGGAATGGGGCGCTGACGATGATTCAGAGAATACTGAAATGATGGGACAGTATTCCTGTTCTTTTGGCTGAAAGTGGCAACTTGCCTCAGATAAACTCCAGTAGGGCTGAACTCGAGGCGTTAAATCGTCATTTCACCCTCACGGACCATGAGGCCATAATAAGTTAGTACAAGCTGTTATAAAGCATTGTTATTAATGACGCTTCAACGACATGCTCTTGCAAGACCGAGACCAAGATAAAAGGAAGACCGAGAGATGAGGCGAAGGCTGCTGGTGCAAAAATCTCAAGGTAATCAGTAACAAATGAACAGCCGCTGTTCTACAGCAGAGTCAGTGCGCGATATGCTGTCAAGCGAATCATTCTTCATGACTATCCTTAGACTCCCACTGAGCCGTATACATTCCACTGCATTGTTACTGTAATGTGCAGTCTATTATGAAACAGGATGTAACTTGCATCTCGGTTGGCCTCCGGCGACCACATAGGGGGCGCTGACGCTGTATTCTTCTACAATACCAAGCCGGTACTACCGACATTACTTCTTACAACACTACAGAAGTGTCATTTCTTTCGGCAGCAACGTCTCACTAATATCTCACGAGTTGTGTTGCACAGTTGTTCGCAATGCGAATACAGATTCGAGGGGTGAGCCATTTGTGGCTCCTCATTTTTTTTCATTCCTATCTTTCCCCAAAATTTCGAAAAATTGCCGATTGGAAGATTTTTTCCTCTCGGTTGAACAACTTTGGATAGCATATATCTGCCGCATTCTAATGAATTTCGATTCCTTGCATCATCAGAACTCCTCCATCACAGTACCGATTGTACTAAATCCTCACCTGTAAACTCGAAGTGATAGTATTGTGGTGGGAAGTTATTCAACTTGAGACTTTCAATAACTTCGAATTTACTAAGTAAATTTTACTTCCCCAGCACTAGTAAAACCACCTCTTACCTGTCAAGGGCCTACTCAATCCTTCACCACTATCTTCTCCTCATTAAGACCTATAGAGCTTCAAAACCCGCCGATCTACTTCACTGAACGCCTCCTGATGAACAATCATATCCAACGATATATCAGCAGTCTGAGCCAGAGCATGAATTAGAGGGTGAGCAGACCTTGGCAGAGATGTCCGGAAATGTTGACATACAAATCAATTGCAGCAACAACCAACCATTAGATAGCGGCTCCTCTCTCTCATCGGTTCAAGGTAGACAAGCTAATTTCATGAAAACGTACTTGTCATTCAAAAACGGACTTGTTATACGAACTCCAGGACAATGTCCAACTCGTTTTCCGACAACTACCGCAGAAACCCTTCCCCCAAAGAGATGAACGATCTACCATCTCATACACCAGTCGCCGGCACGAGTGCCAGCTGGCAATCTAACCGAGAGCATGCGAATGTTCGGATGTTTTTCTCGTGGAGTGGTATGACAATAACCCATAAAAGTTACCGTCAGATACTGATAACACAAAGCGTCAACTTTGAGCGAGAAAGCTGAAGTAATTCTATCGAACTACCGCAAGGGATAGTAATGGTAATTATTACGCATCCTGAGTGCTGATAAGTGCCAACTCACGACCACTAGCCGAGGCCTGACACAACAAAGACTTACATGAGCACGATTTAGACAACATGAAAAGGTACCCAATTTTTGAGCTTCTCGACGAGCTGCTCTCCAGTGACAGCGTCGGTATGATGGACCATCACTTGGTTCTTCTCAATGTCGCAATCAACGCTCTCAACACCATCTACCTTGGTGAGGATGCGAGTTATCGCACCAGAGCAACCGGAACCTGATAGGAATATCATCAACCTAACCTATTCAGTAGAGTGAACCAAGGATAACTTACATGTCATTCCAGCGCGAATCTCAGTGATCTTGTTTGCCATAATTTACGAGAGTATGTAAAAATAACAACTAAAAAACTAGGATGATGAAATGTAATAATGGGTATCGATTCCGCGTACTATGTACAAATACTTATTGTAAATTAATAAGAGAACATAACTACTTATTAGTGACTTCTAATTAGCTTTCTCACGACCCAGAACCTGTTATAATTCGATAAATTCTAAGAATTTCACACTAACGAATTAGACACGAAACTCCTAAAATATGTCATTTTAGGATAGCGAGTATTACAGCGAATCAGCTAAAGAATCGCTACACAATAAGGAGACAACATTGTCCTGGCGAATTTCCGGTATACAAACGTCCACTATCAGTACTAGTCAGACGGTAAATTCAGGGGAAGTCGTCTCTGACTGCTGTATGTGATTCCACAGAGAACAGTATCATAAGACTTTTGAGGCACCTAGCAGATCAAATCGTGGACAGAAAAATGCCCAAAATATCATGTAAGAGGTTTCCCGTCGAAGACTGCGAAAACTTGAAGTATAGGATAGAATATAATCGCTCGCAGATATTTCGGAAATTATGAATAAGGCTATGTTTCTCATAGCGTTACCAGAGCACCACTATATTGCGATTTTCAAGAAAATCGAAAATATTGCGCTCGCCATTCTGATCGATATACTGACCTCTAACGAGACTTGTCTGCTGAGAGCTGCAAGTTTCCAGTTGAACTATCGGCAGAGAGTAGGCCACAGTAGTTTGCGGGTATTGTCTTTCATTGTCCCTTCAGTGGCCTTCGTTTGATCGGTTGTGAAGGTTGATGAACACTGAACTCATCCCTCGTATAGTATAATACCCTACCACCCACGTGTGGAAGTATGTTGGGCCAAAATCGATCAACATCAGTCGAGGGGGTATCTTAGGTTCACGGACACAAGATACAAAATAGGTCCGATGGTAGACCATGTGCGTGCAATGCTAGTTTTCCTTCTTCCCGGTTACTGCTTCAACCGTCACGTATCACCATGAGCTCCGAAGCCGCCCATCTCCATTGCCGTTTCTACCGAGAGCAATTCCCTGAGATTGACCAGTGCATTGTGGTAGTATAAAATATTCGATCTGAATCTTCGATTTCTTCTCCCTAGGCCTTAGTAAAGCAAGTCACTGACGTTGCAGCGTATGTTTCCTTATGTGAATATGACGATATGGAGGGTATGGTTCAGCTTTCCGAGCTCTCTAAGAGGCGTATTAGATCTATTCCTAAGCTCATCAAAGTTGGACGGTAAGTTTGAAGAGGTACTAATACCGACTGTATTGTCGCCACCATCAGTTTCGATACGTTTATGGTCTTACGAGTTGATAAGGAGAAGGGCTACATCGACCTCTCTAAGAAGCGTGTGTCGCGCGAGGATGCTGAGGCCCTGGATGTGAAGTAATACTATCAACCTAGTCATCATTATCATTGGAGTTCTACCTGTTAAAGTGGCGTGATACTCGGTGAAAAAATCAGACTTTTGAGCTATGCAGTAGTCGTCGTGAAATCTGTTTTTCACTAGTGTTTTTCATATCACCGGTGAAACTCCATTATTATTATCATCATCATTTTAGGTATTCAAAGGCGAAGACTGTCCAGTCCATCATGAGGCATATAGCATCGACCCACGGCATGTCTCTAGAGGAGGCGTGTTCGAAGATCTCCTGGCCCCTCTACGATAGGTTCGGTCATGCTTATGATGGACTCTCTAAGCTTGTCGGGTAGTAGTATCCTCACATTAGTACTGGTGATGGCGCTTTCTCAGTGACAACGCGGATTTGAGCATTCTGGAGGGCCTCGAAATCACTCCGGAGGTTCGCGAGACTCTCCTTAATGTGGTCACCAGACGAATGGCACCTCATCAGCTGAGGGTGAAGGCCAAGGTGGAGGTAATACAGTGTTGTCTGTGCTATTCATATCGAATGGGTGTATATACATAAAGATATGAGTAATGAAATGGAGTTTCACACGTTTTACGTGAAATGGCGTTTTACGATATTCGCGGTGATATGCAGTGTTTTGTGGAATATTTTTTCTCATATCACGGGTGAAACTTCAATGCATTATGAACCTATTGATATCATTTCGTGTATTGTCCCTCATGGTCTTCAGCAGTGTGGGAATATATGTTTGGTTTCCTCAACTGAGCTCGTAAATTTCCTCACTATACTTTGAAAAAAATTCACACGACTTTGGGTAGAAGTGTACCAAAATCAACGATAATTTCTCAAAATTTCTATATTCCTAGCAGCACATGTAGCTGACCATGTGCATGCATTCCCACACTGGTCCTAATTACTGATACAGAGTATTGGGAGTGCGTTTACAACTCGTTTGGAAATGAAAGCAGTGTAGGAAAATATGCACATGTTTAACTACATGTGTCGGTGACAAGATGAAAATTTCGAGGAAATTATAGTTGGTGTTTGTACACTTCTAGCCGAATTCATATGTAAACCCCCTATAATTAGCGATGAAATTCCGAAGATCAGCTGAGTTGTTTTAACAATAACACGAAAATTTTGAGAAAATTTTGCAAAATTTTAGTTTGTTTTCGTACACTTTACCCAAAAACTACTGAGCTCAGTTGAGGAGCGAACATATAGTCTTCCAACATTACATGACTCTGATCTCATGTAGCTAACGATGTGTTTGTATGTTGACCTAATAGGTATCATGCTTCGATTATGAAGGTATAGAGGCAATCCAGAGGGCACTGATTGCCGGTCGAACGGTCGCTAATGACAATTCTAAGGTGACTTTAACGGTGCTTCCTTGATCGCGTGGTATCGGAAATGGTCAGGTTGGTGATGATGAGTCGTTGAAGGCCACTACTACGGTGAAGCTGATTGCTCCTCCCCAGTATTACATTGTGACGACGTGCTCTTTGAGGGTGATAAGAATAACCATGACGATTTTCGGGTTATGTTCTATTGGATAGGACGTCGGGTTTGAGCGTATTGGTGCTTGCATTGACGCGATAAAGGAGTCCATTGAGAAGGAGGGAGGCACCTTCGCATTGAAACAAGCGTAGGGTGCTGGGGTAAAGTGAGGGGGTATCGGGTCGACTGGTCAGGCCTGAGCTCGTTGGACTGGATGAGGAAGAGCTGGCGAAGCAGAAGCGGGAGGAAGAGGTAGGAGAATTAATTGTAGGTGTAAAAGTTGCATAAACTTTCTCTTGTCGTTGTTGTAGTCCGAATCTGAGAGTAGTGATTCTGAAGATGAGGATGAGGGAATGGGAGATGCTGAGAGTAAGTCAAACATTTCGAGGCTCTCTGGTCCGACATGGCTTCCTTTTTATACGGTTGGTGGGCTGATTGCAATTATTGATATTTGAATTTTTCTATCAGTTGATGAAAGCGCTTTCGCTAAGGCCAATGAGGAGTAATGTATACGACTTGAAAGAAAGAGGCCATTACAGTTTCCTCTATTGTGGTGTATTGCGTTGACCATTATCCTAGAGATGCTCAAAGTGTGTGTTTGGCCTGATCGTTAGTGGTATGGATTAGTAAGCAGGAGGTAGCTGGTTCGATCCCTACAGTTGTTACCTATATCCGATCATGGAGGCTCGGAAATAGGAAGGGCTGTTCAAGGGAGGTTTCTTTGCCGCCTACTTGTGTAGTAGCAATCCTATGTACTATATTCGACGGATCTCTGCGTGGTGGTCGGTCCCACTTTCCTAGTTGAGGGCTCGGTGAATTTGGTCAGTCTATTGATGGTTATGTGAGAGTATATGGTCGGTCTTGATTGTTCCATGTGGTCCTGTGGACTGATATGTAGTGCAAATGAGATCCCCTCAACTTGCCTGTCTTGCCACTATGGTGATTTAAATTTCTCCTACGATTTTCCGGGATGATCCGGTTCATATTGTCTGATGTATCTAACTAGTGACGTCATCGGTTACCCTACTCTTGCTCCTAAAGCGAAGATAAGACGATTTACTCAGAGGCGACGAGCTCGATAGCGCCTTTTTTTCGACAGGATGGAAGCTGATTCTCGTATGGTATTTGCCAGAGTACGTTGCTTAGGCGTATATCTACTGTTCTCTGCAATGCTACGATGGGACGCTTTCGAATGTAGTCTGCTAAGTGCAGCAATCTGGCTAGGCTTTAGTGGCCGCCGAAACTCTCCTCGAGTTTTCGGCGAGAATCAATTCCAGTGTGTGGTCACGAGCTGTTGAAAGGGGCTTATTTTCTAATTTCGGGCGCAACCTATCAGCTGTGGGGTTGTACCGTGGCCTATGCACGAGCCGTGCAGGTGCGGAGGACTGTCGGAAAAACATGCACATGGTCAACTACACTCTGAGGGAATTCCCATTGGTTTTAGTAGACTACTCAAACTTGTATAATTAGTGAAGAAACTGTCGGGCTCAACCGAAGAAAGCGAACATATACTCCTCGCAGGGTAGTTGGGGTTTGGTGACCGCGAGTAAACTATCCTTAAGAACATTCTGACGACTTAACAAAGTGGGCCATTTTTCTCTTGCGATGAGAAGAATACATATCACAATAATGAAATTGATATTCTAGTCAAGTATGATGTTCAAGTCGGTTGTTGGGTTAGCACTGGTATTACTCGTGTGGAAAAACACCGGGTGCGGGGATCGAACCTGCGTCTTCTGTTTTAGTTCCTGCTTCGCCCCTATGACCAGTCCGCGGTCTTCCTTCCGAATACGGCGGCCCAAGCAGCGATGGCTCTGTATAGTTCCCCTTGCATTCACACTTTTATTTCTCTTCCTGCTACTGTCCAACTCCCCGATTCACACTGTGTCCTCTCTGCGCGGTCCTGATCCATCTCACCCGTTACCAACCCCCAAGGCGACCTCGGCCGCCGACTCTTTGTCGGGTTCTACCTCAGCGTATCTGAGAGCTGATCAGCTGACTGACCCGTGGAGTGGTAGGCCTATTACGACCGACTACATCGCCCTCGAGAACCCCTCGGATCGTCCTCACCTTTGGACGACCATTCAGTGCACAGGAAGCAATCTGAACCGGAGTTGCATTTTCGACAACTTTTACTATGTATCGTCCGAAGAGAAGTTCCACATAGTTCTTCCGTCGAGTTCCCGAATACGGTCGTCGCCGTACACTGGTCGGCCCGTTGACGTTGATAAGGACCCGGTCCTGCCTGGCCCGTATGATGGGTCTATGGTCACCGAATCGGGAGTGAAAATGCTCATCGAGGGCTGTAGCGACTTCTTTATGGGTGATGTTGATTATGAACCGACTGGTAACCGCTTCGAGCCACTCATACACATCTTCGATTCGCCCTTGGATGCCGAAATGTGGATAATGCATCATACCATGACAGGAGCAACTTTCCGTCCTGGCCTGACTGTTTACGGTTTCGCTCTCTACATGCATAACGTTGGACATGCACTTTACGATGGACTCTACCCTATGTTCGTATCGATGTTGAGATTTGGCTATGGAGCTGCTGATGTGAACGTGTTGTTCAAAATGGTATATAACGGCGTATTAAGACCTGGCATGCACGTCATTGGTGACGACATCGCGCCTGTTTTCGGCGGTGGTACATATACTCATCTCGATGACCTCACGGATGGTCTGTACCGGTTTCAAAGGATCATAGTAGGCTCGCGCCGGATGGCCCATCGATCGTTTAATACGTACAGTACTTTACCTGGTTCATATACGTATGAAAATTCTCTGTGGTATTTCTCTCGACGTTTGCAAGCTCGCTATGGTTTGATCGACTCGAAGACGGCTATGGATCCTGCGGCCGAGGTCAAAACTGGCGTGTCCAGTGGTGGGTGTAAAGGCGTTATCACTGACAATAAGAGATTTGATGATACTGATAGGAAGATGTTCTTCGACTTGATTGAGAAGCTCAAGGATGAGGATGTTTGTGACTTTACGTTTGTTGATTGGAAAAAGTATACCTTCGAGGAACAACTCGAAATATTCACTAATTCTGATGTCTATGTCAGTGGGGTTGGCACTGGTATCACGAGAGCTCATCTGACCAAGCCTGGTGGAGCTGTGGTGAATTTAGGCGAACTTGAGAAATTTGGCATCCCCGAACGAGTTCAGATTTCTTATCGTGACGTTCAGTTTGCGGCTGGAGCGCCCTACTTGCAAGCCCTCTATTATCCTGCTAAGTTATGGAACGTTTATGGTAGACTACAACCGGAAGCCGTCGAGCTGATCGTACGACAAGCTGTGAACATTGTGAAGCAGGGATGGTCACTGCCACGACCGCTCGAAAATGGTATTTCCATCGTGGGTGAAGCTATGGCTAAGTACTGCCAAGCCAGTCCGAGTGATTGTTACGAGCTCGAGAGTGAATTGAATATAGATGATCGACCGGCCTTGGACGATCCCTGGTGTTCTCTCTGTATGTGGCCTGATTACATAGGCTTGGACACTATGTGGAGAGCTGATACTACCTGTGAGTGGTATGACAAAACTCGGCAATGTAAATTGAATTATGCTCTTTACGATACGTGTCGGTCACCAGACCATATGGCTTTTGATGCCAAGTGTCACGAAGATAGTCGTTCAGCGATGATGGAAGTGCGTGAACGTTTATTGTCGGAAAAAGCGCGTGAATTGGGCGTGACAGTAGCAGAGTTAACTCCCCAACAAGCAACGGAAGCACTACTGAACGCGTCCCCACCAAACTGCCCACCGACCTACCGTTCCGGTGAGGAGTGTTGGTGTAAGGCGTTAGTATGGTAGTGATTATTTCCTGTTACTTAGTATTGTCTTATATGTACCTGTTTTTCATCATTGTCATATCGTCCATTTCGCCAGGGGTTGCGTTTGGTCTTTCCGGGACTTGTTTTTTTTACAGTTTCTCAGTCGGTATTTGTATGTTCCGTAGTGTGGTAAGGCAAGGTCAGCAGAGGTTCCTGTCATGTTACTTTCGCCGTAGTCTATCACGGCTAATCCCATTTCTAGTGGTCCCACTGCTGACTCTGGTTGGCCTATACATTATCTTTGGCATACCACACCTTGATTACTTCGGCCACTATCTTCGAGGGCATTCTAACCCAACTGCTCGTGCTGGCAATCTCGTTCGCGCCGATCAGCTCGTGAACCCGCTGAATGGTCGCCCTACTACTGTTGATTACTTCTTTCCTGAAGGAGCAGAAAAAGAAGGAAATGTTTGGAGTGCGGTTCAATGCACTGGTAGCACAGTTAACCGGACGTGCATCTTTGACAACCTCTACTACAGTAAGACTGAGGATATGTTCTATCTATTGCTACCTCGGAAAGGAGAGGTACGGTCGGCGCCATATTTTCAACGCCCCGTGTCACCACTGGTCGATCCTGTCGTCCCTGGGCCCTACGACGGCCTCGTTTCAGCCGATCGCATTCGCGGTCTCACAAGAAACTGTTCCTCGTTTTTCATGGGAGATGTACACTATGATCCGATCGGGCGACCGTTTTCTCCCAAACTTGTGTTTTTCGAAGATGTTTTTGCCCTCCAACACTGGCTTGACCAGCGGTCGTGGAAACCAACGAACGTTGATGGCGTTACTATCTACGGCTACGCCCTTTACGCTCATAATGTCGGCCATGTTATGTACGACGCTCTTTACCCGCTGTTCGTGTCGATGATCCGCTTTGGGTACGGCGACGCTGATGTGAATGTTCTTATGAAAGTTGAGGACCGCTTCAATGGCAAGAAGTTCCTCTGCGACGAATTTTGGCCTAAATTCGGTGGCGGCAAATACAGCCGTTTGAACGACTTGACACGGCCTATCTATCGCTTTCAAAGAGTTATTGTTGGCTCACGTAAAATGGCCCATAGGAGTTTCAATACTGATACTACTATGCCTGGATCTTATACTTATGAGAATGCTTTATACATGTACACACAGCGCATTCTTGCCCGGTATGGCATCAACGATGTTGCTTCTTCAAGAGGCAGTAGTATGGTCCCGATTGACCACGGTGAAAACGGTTGTCGAGGCGTTATTGTTGACAATAAGAGGTTTACTGATACTGAACGGGCTATGCTCGAATCGATCGCTGCTCATTCGGCTGAAGATCTCGACTGTGACATTACGTTCATACGGTGGGAGAGGTATGCGTTTGAGGAGCAGCTGAAGATCTTTTCTGAGGCCAACGTGTACATCAGTGGTGTCGGCACTGGTATCACTCGATCGCATTTTATCAAGCCTGGTGGTGTCGTTGTAAATCTCGGTGAAATGGACAGATACGGAACCCCTCCCCGACTGCAACCAGGCTACAAGGACGTCCAATTTGCCGTTGGTTCGCCACACTTGAATGCGCTCTATTACCCTATGAAGCTACTTAATATGTACGGTGAACTACAAGAAGAGGCAGTCAGGAATCTGGTCAGGCAAGCGGTGCAACTCGTGCGGCGAGGATTCCCCATTCCTCGGCCGTTGAAAGATGGTTTGGCACCGACCGGCCTTGCTATGGTAGAGTACTGCGAGGCAAGCCCAGAGGCATGCGAGGATCTCGGTGGTCAACTCAGTGTTGAAGAAGTTGCCGGCAATAGTGTATGGTGTGCCTTCTGTACGTGGCCAGACTTCTTTGGGCTCGACCCTATGTGGCGGAAAGGGACAAGTTGTATGAAAGAAGGAGAACCTCTGCAATGTCGGCTCGATTATGATCTCTATGATCGAGTCCGAGACCCCAACCAGATAGCGTTTGATGCAGTTTGTCACGAGTCGGCCCGACCTCGAATGCAGACCTTGAAGAAGAAACTGCTGGATCTCCAAGCGGCACGGCTGGGTGTTAAGACTAGTGATCTCACTGATGCCGAAGCGACCTTTGCGATGATGCAAGGATCGCCGCCTGATTGCCCACCGGTCTATAAGCCTCAAGAGGAATGCTTCTGTTTACCGCTTGTATGGTGACTGCGATGTATATACAGCGACTATTTGTACCATATGATAGTGTCCGTAGATTCGTTCATACGGTTACTTTCCGATCTACCATTGCTCCTATTAAGCCCATCGGGTATTGAGTTGCAAGTCATTGGTGACACACTCGCACTCCTATTGGGCCCCCTCCCTAGACTCCAAAGGTAGGCCCACGTTGAAACCAGGTGTGAAATTGTCCAGGGTTGATGTGAATCATTCGAGTTGTGAGTGAGGCCGGGTCTATCAGACCAGGAGCTTTAGCCGTGCAGACGATATGGATCTTCCCATCCCGTGCTTACGCGAAATCGATTGTATCAAGACATATCTTGAGGCTATGGCATAGGCACCCGGTCGATGGGATCAATTGTACTAGGGTATATCTCGGGATGGTGGTATATGCGCCCACCCGATAGAAGCAATTGTACTAGGAGATATCTTGAGGCTATGGCATAGGCACCCGGTCGGATGGAATTGATTGTATTAAGGCACATCTTGGGGTTGTGCCTAGGGGTCCTGCCCGATGGAATCAATTATATCAAGGCATATTTTGATTGTACTAAGCCATATCTTGGGGTCGTGACATAGATACCCCACCCAATACACTTGATTGTACTAAGCCATATCTTGGGGTCGTGGCATAGATGCCCCTCCCAATACACTTGATTGTACTAAGCCATATCTTGGGGTCGTGGCATAGATGCCCCTCCCAATACACTTGATTGTACTAAGCCATATCTTGGGGTCGTGGCATAGATGCCCCACCCAATACACTTGATTGTACTAAGCCATATCTTGGGGTTGTGGCATAGATGCCCCACCCAATACACTTGATTGTACTAAGCCATATCTTGGGCTCGTGGCATAGATACCCCACCCAATACACTTGATTGTACTGAGCCATATCTTGGGGTTGTGGCATAGATGCCCCTCCCAATACACTTGATTGTACTGAGCCATATCTTGGGGTTGTGGCATAGATGCCCCTCCCAATGATTTTACTGAAGAGGAAATTGACCTCCAAAAAGTTTAGTGCTTTAGGGCAGAGCCGAACTGTTCAGCCTCGGCAGAAATTCAGGAGTGTTACAGATGGCGGATTAAGATACGTGAATGTGATGATCTGGAGTGTGGCTATTCGGAATAGACTCTCATGACAAACGCAAGAAGGGTAGAATGAGATTCCGACTTTAAGATGGGTAGAATGAGCTCTATTAGCATCGTTAGCTACTGGTAACGTTACCATGAATCGAATTCTAGGAGACGCACAGGTAGCGCAAAAAAGTCTACGCGTTCGACGATGATTTCAAATGGTAAGCAGATAGTTAGCAAGACACCCTACATCCACAATAGGGATGGAATGCGCCTACCAACACCGCATGGACGGCAAGATATGGACAGCCTCAACAAAAACCCTTCTGAACAGTACTAGCCTACGATGCCACAGAGACGTGAACCACCGACCCTCGACCGAATTCGAAAGAAAAGATAATGCATCGATGATGATGATAGCTGTGAGTACGTAGGTAGTGCGAGTAGCAACAACAGTCAACAAGAGGAGTAAGCAGAACTAAAAA